GCTTCAATTCTTCCAGTTTTGTGAGAACTTGATCTTTATTGTCGTATTTCTTGTCGATCTCTTCATTCGAGTCATAGATAATGAGACAGAAGTCGGTATCACTTGTATTGCTGCCAAAGCCAGTCAACGACGAGCCAATCAAATATAAATCAATCTTTTCTTTCATTTGTGTCGAGAATAGTGTATAGAATCGATGCCTAAGTCCTGTCTTCATCTCATAGATCTCATGAGTTTGTATTTGTCTTTTATAAATGCCAAACAGAGTTGTGGTCAACAGTTGCTGTCGTCCGTACTGTCCGTACGCAGAGAATGCCTGCAATGGACTCTTAGTCGTGACCACCGCCTCCGAGGGTGTCGAGGGTCTCATCGCTAACATAGCTATGAATGCTTTCAATACAGACCACAAGAGCTTTACACACTTAACACTAACTCTCAATACGATATCTATGTCTGCAATAAACCTAACAAACGATTGAATCAAATAAATAGATATTGGAATTGAAATTGAAATAATGGTTACATTAATTGATTGCCGACAGTATTGTTATGGAGAGCGCGCCCACACTTGTGCCCACACATCCACACAACCGCTCGCACTAAACACTTATTTGTTGCCAAAATTAGATCATTTACTCAATTAAAAGTGTGAATAATAAGCGTTTCACTAAACGCTTACAATTTATTACAAGTTATTTATTTCTATAACCCCTTCCTATTTGGTGGGCGTCAGTGACATAGCATTTCACTCATGTTTTTCGTATTCAATTGTAAGAAATACCAGAATTATGAGTTAAATACCCAAAAGAATCTGACATATCCGGGTCGCAGAAGGCTATGTCTCATTTGGCAAAGTCTTTAACATCACATTTACAGCTAATGTCAAACAGCAAAACTTTTTCCATACAATTAATATGTACTCTATTATTGTGTTTTGTCGATATGTTTGTAGAAATTGCTAATAACTAATGGAAATAACTAACGAATCGCAAAACTAGCAATTTTATAAGTTTCAAAGTTTATCATCTCATTTATAACCAATTTTGCTATTTTTAACAATCGATGCGACATTTCGTTTCTATTTACGAGTTTTCATTTAAATTTCATGAATGAAAAGCAACTTTTATTATTTTGTAACAATAATAAAATGTCAGAATATTACTAATTTTAGTAACGGCTGTTTCTCATCATTATTACGCAAATGCTATAACTATAATACGTTAACATATTATCCATTTATTTGATGACATTTACTCTCTATTATATCGTTCAGAATAATTGTTTTCAATACATAATTAAATTTCTATATTGAGTCAATACCTGTTGTATAGATAGACCCAAACACACTGTAGTCGTGTAGGAGTTATAATTAATTGCAACAGGAATTCAATGCAAATGTGTGGATGTGTTGTGCAAATGAACTACTGGTTCATGAAATAGAAGAACTTGCAAATTGTTTGTTTAGTTGCAAAAAAATATTTCACTAAAAAGTGTCTGTAAATACATTTTCAAAATAAATTGATTTTTTTTTTTGAAAAATATTATTTAATCATTTGCTGTTAAAGTAAACAGTTTATGTAAAAATAAATTATTGCAAAACATATCAATAGCTCCGTATTTTCAATTAATTAAGCAATATGCTTTTAATCTGTTTTGTAAATCAATAACTTATTGTAATACAATAATGTATAAATTGTTTTATGAATATAATTATATCATTAATATCTATAAATATAATTAATATTTAGATATATTTGCAATACAATTATTATAAGATATGTGAAATATATTATACATAGTCTATGTAACATAGATCTATAATTCAGTAATAATTAAATTATTAATGTCTGTGTTATTGTAAAAAACATGTTTTATCCTTTACAACGAATGCATACAATATCATAATCTATAATATAAATCATATAACAAATAGTATTATTTAAAATCCGGAATCAAAGGTTTAATAAAACTCGTCTGCAATTTGTTTGAACACCAAAACTATTTCCTAATATTAAAAATAAAATAAAATATTCCCTGAATTCACATAAATTTTCAATTTCTGTTTTGGGCATAATTTTTAGAAATATAAATGAGTTCTAGATTTAGCAAAACATTGTAAATTTAATACAATGCATACAATATTACAATAGTGTTAAACTTTATATTTTCAGTTATACATACATTATCTCAAATTTCTAACAAATTTAATGATCTTTAGACTTATATAAAAGTAAAAATCATTTAATTATATATTTCAACATAAAAATAAACACAGTATACTGTTATACAGTATAGTGTACAATGTACATATGCACACTGTTCATTATATACGATATATAAATATAATATAATATACATGATAATCATATAAGAATATTTATTTAATACAAATTCCTTTACAAAAACTCATTGCTGTACAAATTCTATGTATATTTAGATGTAAATACTTTTTTATGTATAATATTAAAACATTGGGAGTCTTTGTATGTGTTTTCCCCAATTAATTACTATATTTAAAACGCAATGAATAAATGCACGTTTGAATCGTTAGTTATCTTGTTTTTCAATTAAACAAAAGAAAAACATTAAAAATCACAATAAAAATCAAAAACATCGCGACTGAATGGCGCGACACAGAGCGCCGGCCTCGGAGTTAAAGTGCCACTGATTTCCTAATTAAATATACAATTTATAATATTATATTCAAATAGAGGGGAATTTTATCACAATTTTTTGTTATTTTTAAACTCTTTATATGATAATTATAATTAAACACAAGACCCAAGACTTTTGTGTGCAAAAAAAGAGATAACAAAACTTCTAAATAAATACATTTATTATATGCCAATAAAAAGCTGAATAAATTAAAACCATTACTATATTTTTCATTCATTAAACTGTTATTTGTGTTAATAATATGCGAAACAGATTTTATCAATAATTGACATTCAGTTTTTTGTTGTTTATATTATAAGACATCTGCAATTAGTGAAGAAAACAACGATAATTTAAAAATAACTTAATTAGACGACAGGTAATTATTAGTAATGTAATGGAATATTTGAAAAGTTTGTAATTTATTTGGCAATTGTTTTGAAGCAAACGATGTGTTTGCGTCAGATCTCCGTCGAAATCACATGAAACCGCTGCTAAATATACAGAATATCGGCATTCAATGCAGTGTTTCGTTCAATTGCCAGATATTTAATGAATTGCTATAAATATATGATGTAATGATTAGAAGGCGTGCATTCAATATAATACATGTATAATACTGTATAATATCGATCTAAACGTCCTTTAAATTTAATTAGATTTTAAATATATATATCAATGCAAAAAGAGAAATAAAAAATACTTATATATATTATTATTTTTTATGCACTTATTGTGTTAACCCTTTTCTTATGCTCTGAGGCTATAAAATACTTATGAATGACAGCATACATGAGAATGTAATTCATTGTACCATTTAATACAATATATATTTGATTTTATTTATTATTTCATTCGCATAGTTAACAATAATTGAAGCAATAAATAGTAGAGAATTTGTTTTTGATGAGTGAAAACATAAAATACCATATATTGCCAAAACTCGTGCCGCAATTATTTTCCACTTCACATACCATAACATGTATTCTTCACGAGTTTATTAAATCTCTTTTATTGCCTCTAAATTTGATTAACTTTTTTTCTTCCATATAAATCACATATTATTGTCAACACATGCCTTACTCTTATCAATACAAACATTGCATATCTAATGAATATTTTTCCCAAATTAATATAATTTTTATGACACTTATTCTGTTGGCTATCATATGCCTATTGTTTACAAAATTAAAGCAAGAATTTTGTTGAATAATCGCATTAATAGTATGTTTTGATACGAAGAATGAAAAATTATTGCATAAATTCCTGATTCTTATGATTTGTATCAAAACAACTGCAAAATAAGTTGCAGTGCTTTACATGTATTTAGAAAAAAATTCTGCAAAACTATAAAATTTAAAGTTGTTTTCAATTACACTATAATTATGACGTATTGTGTGCTAAGACACGACTCTATATATAAAACACCAATACTTTTATCACATCCAAGGACTGACTCCCCGACGCTTTCAACACTTTCCTAAACTATTTTTCGTGTGAAACGAATTAAACAACTTCTTAAGGAGTCTTAGAGTCGGCGATCTTGAGGACGAGAGAGAGAGAGAGAGAGAGTACGACTGGAGCCACTGTTGTTGCGTGTGTTTGACTGTAGAGTTGGTGTGGGTTTGGCTTTACGTACGTAAACGAGTGAATGATTGTACAAAT